AAAAAATGGTGTTCATTGGTGTGTGGGTTGATATTGGGGTCTTTGATTCGATTTCATTAGTCCATCTGTCTGTTTTTATGACAATACCAAGCTGTTTTCATTATTATAGCTCTATAGTAGAGCTTGAAGTCAGGGATGGTGATGCCCCAGATGATCCTTTATTGTACAGGATTGTTTTAGTTATCCTGGGTTTTTGTTTTCCATATGAAGTTGAGTATTGTTCTTTCAAGGTGTGCGAAGAATTGTGCTGGGATTTTGATGGGTAATGCATCAAATCTGTAGATTACTTTTGGTAGGATTGTTATTTTTACTAGGTAGGAGTTCTCTGGTAGAATTTTTGGGGTCACTTATGTATACTATCATATCATCAGCAAATAGCAAGAGTTTGATTTCTTATTTTCCAATTTGTAGCCCTTTGATATCCTTTTGTTGTACTGGTTTCATTTTGACTCTTAAAACTTTTCTCAAGCTATAAATATTATTTCAAAATCTATATGATATGCATTTATTTTTCTGTCAAGATATTAGTATTCATACACAGTACTAGCTTCCTGTATATGTTTTGGGGTTTGAGTTTGAAGCAGGTAATTAGGAACTAAGTTTGTGTGCTCCAGATGTACTTAATAGATTGTGGTCCTCTAACCATTCAGAGATCTTCTGCATATGGCATTTTCTGTAGACCTCTGAAATGTTTGAAGACCACCTGTCTATCTAAAATACATCTGTTTAACCTTGAAAACATACCTAACATGACTACAAGTTTGATTGTTTGGATCAGGAGCGGAGCCAGAAACTCTTTGTCAGGAATTAGTCATGAAGAATATGGAGGAGCCAGTAGACAGATAGTGAAACACACAGGGAGGATTAGGGAAGAACTTGGAGTTTCAGAGTCTCTTTTTGATTTGGGATGGCTAGAGAGACATTCTCATTCTGGATCTCCAGCCAAAAAGGAAGGTCAACTGTTGCTTTTTGGACTCTCTGAGCTATCATGTTCTCAACACAATATCTGATTCCTGAGTCTTTACTGGCAAATAGAATGATAGAACTTATTTAAAAACTAAGGATTGGAAGTCCCATTAGGCCATGGCCTGAGCAGCAGGGTGCTGATGGCAGGGAAGTAGTTAAAATATCAGTAGACTCAGGTGCAACCTATATGTCGATGGAAAACAACATAAACCAAAGTCAGAAGTCTGTGCACGCAAAGGCTCACAGGACTGATCCTTTGGAAGGCTTTGTTGCTAGATTGCTGGGAGGAAGCTGAGGATTTAGCCAAGGCTGGTTTTTCCTGGTCCTGAATTAATTTGAGAAAAAAGTGACGGTCAGCAGATGGCGCTCCAAGAATAAAAACAAAGCCAAGTGAGTCATGCTGTTTTTCTCTCTTGCCAGTATTTCTGTCTGGACTGAAGGCCACTGAAAGATGTGTGTGTGTGTGTGTGTGTGTGTGTGTGTGTGTGTGTGTGTGTGTGTGTGTGTGTGTGTGTGTGTGTGTGTGTGTATAAACCACAAATTCATGGAGTAAGAAAACACAGCACCCATGGGACTGTTAGGAACCCAGGGGATGCTGGGCAGTCAAACATGCTTAGGATTCAACTCTTAGCTATGCTGATGTCCATGAGGCAAATCCAGTCTGATAGGGGCACTCAACGTCCTGTTTTACTTTCATGAAGTTAATACAATGTTTGTACTGAGCCAAGCAGAGAGAAGTTGCACTCCAGAGGCTTGAGACATAGCTTCACAGTGCCACCCGTGGCCATCCTTCTGTCTCCCTTTTCTTAGTGGCAGAGAGGCGGGGAGGCGTGTCCTCAGCCTCCAGAGGCACCACACTGGCACTGGGAAGCTCTCCTACCCGAACGCGAATCTCCTGAGACACAGGGTGTGGAGCTCTCTGCATCTCGCTGATACCATCTCAGTGTGTTGTGTGACTCCCCTAGTGATGGGATTTGCTATTGGCTCGCTGAAAGGACACTTGTTCTAAAGAAAGTTTCTGTTAGCTTGTTTCTGGTTACATTATCTACCTTTCTGTTGCTGTGATAAGAATGCCACCACCAAAATCAGCTTCCCCGGAACAGAGTTTATTTTGGCTCATGGCTTCAGAGGAGGAGTCCATATAGTGAGGAAATACTGGCAGCAGGAAACTTGAAAAGGAAGTTGACTGATCCCATTTTGCACCATCTTTCCAGGTGATCCTAGTTGGCAATTAAAGTTAATTATCACATCTTATGCAACGACTGTAGCAAAAGCCCACAGATTTCATGGTGTTATCAAGGATTTATTCCGTTACTGTGAGTGAGGTCAGCAGCCAGACTGGAGTCTCCTCTGGAAGTTCTAACGGGGAGACACCCTCTCCCCCTTTCCCTATTCTGCTGGCTCCAGTCTCCCCAGTTTGTGGCTTGTAACTCCAAACTCACCCTCCATTTCCACATGGCCTCTTCCTTGGCTAGGTGTTTTTCCTCATCTGTTTTTTCTAAAGACCTTTGGCCTTGGGTAACTGCTCAGATGATCCAGATGATTTTAGCTTGACATCCTTTAAATATTCAAAGATTACATTCACAGGTTCCTGAGACTGAGATGATAACCAGGGTGGGCATATGTACATTTCTTTCTGTCTTTTTAAAGACAATTTTATTATTTTAAAGTATGTAGTGTGTGTGTGTGTGTGCATGCGTGCATGTGTGCACATGTGCACACGTGTGTGAGTGTGTGCTGGTATCAGAGGAGGCCAGAAGATGATGTTGGATCTCTTGGAGCCTGGAGTTACAGGGGATCATGAGTTGACTGAGGTGGTGCTTGGAACCTAATTCAGGTCCTTTGGAAGAACAGGAAGTGGACTTAACCTCAGAGCCATCTCTCTAGTCCCCAAGTATGAGTGTTAAAGTGTTACAGCATAGTTCCCTTTAAGTTAAAGGTTTTCATGTGTCACACCTGCACTGTACCTTCAAGGATGGTCCTAAGACAATAGGTCTTCCACCCATGAATCTGTTAGTAGGCAACACTCACCTGAAGAATGTTTGAAGATCACACTCAAGGTCATGCATTGACTTAATATTTAAGTGAAACAAACAAACAAACAAATGAAAACAAGACCCCCCAGCTAAGTTTTCATAAACCTATAGAAAGAAAAGTACCACAGTTATGAAGCCAAGGGAATCCATGGATGACATTGCACCCTGGAGTAAAAGACCACGTGTGATCCTAGAACAACACAAAGAATCTAGAAGATGACTCCAAATTACATATTAGTACCATGAACAAAAGTGTATAGAAAAATGAGGAATAAACTTAAATGAGCCATCTTTTGGATGTTCTCTGCCTTGACACCATTCTCTGTCAGAGCCCATCTGACTAAAGTACCTGTGATATATTTATTTGTAAAAGTCTTTTAGTCTACTTTACATTCAGGTCAAGGTTTTATCTCTGGCAGCCAGAGATATCTCTCGCTGCTTTATAATGTAGAATCTTAACGCCTTCCTGCTGGTTCTGAATCTCAAGGTAAAAATTCTACTCCAGTGTATGCTTGTTGTTGTCCTGTTTACTGATATACAGACATCGTTCTGCTGTCTCTGATTCTTCAAATCCTTCACTCTTCAAATCTCTACATCACAGCTGCTTTGTCCGGTCCTCATCAGTGACCATCTTTTACACTCACAAGTTATTCACAGAGCATTCCACACATATGCTCAGTTTAGTCAAAGACTATTCTAGGTCAAAGAGTCAAGTGCTATTGTTTACACCTTCAGTTATACCCAATACACTGTGGTTTTTTATGATGTTTCTACAAGTATTTGTTGAATTTATGTTATTTGGCTTGAGTATTAAATAACTTACCAAGTTTTGCTCTTGTAAATGGAGGTTTGTCTCCTGCCCTCGAGTTCCCAAATATATACTCAGAGTCTTAATACTAAGTATAACTGTTTGGCCAATGGCTCAGGCATATTACTGACTAGCTCTCACAGTTAAATTAGCCCATTTCTATTAGTTTACATTTTACCATGAGGGTTCTGACATATTACCTCACATCTTACTTCCCTGGCAGCTGCATGGTGTCTCCCTGACTCTGCTTTTTTCTCTCTTTGTTTAGATTTCCTGCCTGGTTCTATTCTGCCTGGCCATTGCCTAAATCAGCTTTATTTATCAACCAATAAAAGTAGCACATGATTGAAGCATACTAAAGGACATCCCACATCATGCTCTTGTATACCTTCTATTTTGCTCCTGTGGGAATCAAGTCATTCTTCCTCTCCTTTAATTTTGATTTCCTAATTCATAAAAACAATGGAGAATGTGTTGCTTTTCATATTTGGGTTAAATTAAGTAGTAAATGAGAGAGGGTTTGTAATTAGTTTTGCCTTTTTGAACATCTGTGAAATAGGAGTGGAGTATGGGACCTGGTTTTCTATTAACTAGCAAACCTTTACAGAGCGTTTACCCCACAAACATGCTCCTGTCTCCAAGGAAGCATGTCTTAGCATCACAACTGAGTCCTCTCTGGAAGACTCTGTTGGGGCAGGCTGATTGGCCCTGCCATTTTTCTTGTAGGAGGTGTGTGTAGCACCTAACTGTGAACTTCCAGCAAACTCCTGAGAGATGCTACAGAAACATGAGGGGTCTAGTTTCATTCTTCCATGTGTGGACATCCATGCTTCTTTGGGTATTCTGGGATTAAAAATGCTTACACTCTGCATAGGGTCTCATGTGGGCTCTAGGGGATTTGAACTTGGGTCCTCATGTTTGCACAAGTGCTTTTTTCCACTGAGCCATCTACTCAGACATGAACACAGATGTTGTTCCACATATGCAGGTCTTCCTGGGGTCTTTCATGAACACTGCAGTTTTCAGCACATACATATATGTGTTCTGTCAGGTTGGCATAAACTGAACCCTTCTGAAAGACAGTTCCTAGAGTTGCAGTTTTAGTCTTCATGTCTCAGGGCTTCCTGACAGTGCACAGACACATAGTTAGGTGTCTGTCATTTATCCTCAGACCTTGAAGAACACACACACGAATTCACAAACGTTTATTTAGTTTCACTCCTTGGAGACTTCTATGTGTTTACCCATCTCATTCACTGCAAACAGGAACAAGTTTATTCCTTCACATCTCTGTGTTCCTTCTTCTGTTGTGTTTGACTGGAGTAGAGAGATGATTGTCTCAAACTTCTTTCTTGATGGTGAGTCCTTGTCATGGCCGTGACAAGAAATAACAGGTTTTAGTTAGACCTTTTGTCTCTACTTGTTGACGGTTCCATGTTGCTGGGTTTCCTGTTTCCTAGGATAAGATGCTAGGTAAGAAAATGATACTCAGAAAAAGCAGCACGGGCTTTCTGAGCCTTTGCTTGTCAGTCTTCTCTGTCTGTTTGTTTATTATGACAGGCTGATTCCAGCCAGCTCCTTCGGTTGAAGAATTAAATGATAATAGAGGGCCTGGCACCAAGGGAAAGTCTATTGGACGTGGTACAGACTTCTTGGGTATAGAATGGCCCCAGAGCTGGAAAACTATTGATTGTAAAGGAAGCTGGATTTTTATTTGGGTTCAAGTATTCCCTTCTAGGTGATTTCCCCTGCTCTCCTAGGGGACCTAAGGTGTTTGTGTGCCCCATGATGTAGGAATGGAGTCCACTGTTCCTGTCTGTGAGTATGGAAACAGCCACTATTTGGTTGGGGTCTGTCCCCAGTCAGGGTGGACCCCTAGCCCCCCTTTTGGTGTAGCAATAACTGACAAAGAGAAACTTAACAGGGAAAGAAAACCTTGAGTCAGAAGTAGAGACCCACTTCCCTTCCCCCTTCTTTCTTCTGCCCTGGGGGTTCCACAGCATCTAGGGTCTTTATTTTTGTGCGAATGGGCAAATGGGAACTGACCTATTGGATTCCCAGCGCATCATTGGTTTTGCATGGTTTTGTGGAAATCTTTCTTACTCCTTGATTTATATTTCAAAGCTCCATCAAAAAAAAAAAGGATAAAAGTGGAAAGTAGAAAGCTCAAATAACTGCAAATGACATACATTACCACTATTTAGGTCATGAGTCTTAATTAAGAACCTTCTGCCACAGGATGGGACTCAGGGGGTAAGCAGTGGGACTGGTCAGCCTAAAGCTAGGAAGCTCTGTCAGAAAAGAGACATACATACTCACTGCAGGAGCCAGAGGTTCAGCTCTTGTGAACCCCATAGGCTGGAGTGGGGGCCGAGGCTACCAGAGAGGAGATAGGTTTGTGAGTGAACACAGCTTGGCCTCGAGTCACTGGGTGAGCATTCTTACCAGATTCCCAGCTCCCACCTGGTCATGCCCAAGAAGGACGAGTTTACTCATTTCAGCCTGTACAGATCCCAGTCTGCTCTGTCTCCCCAGAGTGGAAAGAGCGCTTCTGCGGGGAGTCATAGAACATCAAAGGTATCTGAGGGAAATGGTTCAGTCTTCGCACATTTTCCTTTCCTCTGGGATCTTGCCAGCAAAGCCTTGTGCTTTGCAACATTTTGTGACCGTGAAACAGAAACTGTGGTATACCGGAAGGACCCTGTGCCCTGAATACTCTGTTTAAAGGTGTGCCACGACCGAATAGCATGTGAATCTGTTTCCCCTGGTCGCCAGCCATCAGTGCAGCCTTCCGCTGTCTCTGAGTGGCTTTACCATGGACTTTACATGCTCCATAGTCTTTTACAGTCTCTTGCTTTGTATTAGCTCTCTCTAACAGTCTGGCTTTGTGGCTCTGTTTTGTAAAAGATTGCTTCCTCAAATTAATTAATTAACTGGTTAATTAATTAACCACTTACTAACCAGTTAATTAATTAATGTTACATGTGCCTGGTCATCTGTTTGTTAATTTTTACATGGGGGAGGGGTTGTGCTCATGAACTTTTGTGTGTGCATGTTTGTGGAGGACGGAAATTGATCTTGAGTGTTGTTTCTCAAGAGCCATTCACCTTGTGCTCTGAGACAGGTCCCTCACTACCCTGGAACTCACCGAGCAGACTGAGCAGCTGGTCAAAGGGTCCCAGGAATTCCCCTGTCTCCACCTCTTCAGGGCTGAGATTACAAGTGTGTGCCATCATGCCTACCTTTTATTTATTTATTTATTTATTTATTTATTTATTTTTGTGGGATCTGGGACTCTAGCTCAGAGTCTCCTTCCTGCAGGGCACACATTTTCCTCAAGGGGCTGGTCCCTGACCCCGCTTTTATTAATGATGCTTTTGTAAATCTCCTGGCTCTTGTAGCAATGACTTCTCCCATGCCGATTGCCCCCCTTGCTCAAAGGGCCTCGTTTCCTCTCCTGTCTCCAAATGAATCTGTCACACGGTTTCTGTCCCCTGAGGCACCTGCGCAGTTTCCCTTCTGCCTCATGCTCCGTGCCAACCTCCCCATTCTACGCTTCCTGGTCATAGTCACACTAGCAGGAAAAACTCCGATTTTGTTCCTCCCTGCACCGTTGCCTGAGGCACAGAGAGGGCTTTCTGCATGAATTATGGGTTCCGGGCCAAGCAAGCCCTTCATCTAGTAGCTTTGCCTCTGGGTACCAAGGCCGACTGACCGCACTTCCTGAGAAGCCACACTTCCTGCCTGCCCTGTTGTAGTTTGAACTTGAAATGCTGCCCCCCCCCCCAGGCACATGTGCTGGACACTCGGTCCCCAGCACCGCTTTGCAAGAGGCCTCGGAACCCTTAGGAAGTGGAGTATTGCTGGAGGACCAAGTGGGTGACTGTGGGTGGACTTTGAGCTTTTATAGTCTAGTCTGGCCACAGTACCCGCCTGCCTTCCATTTCCTGTCCTGCCAGATACGAGGTGGGAAGTTTCCAGTTGTATCCATGTCACCTATTGCCATGCCCATCCTAGCATGGACTGGACCCCCTCAGACTGAGCCAAAGCAAGCAAGCCCTCTCTGTGGGAAATCGCCTCTTCTCAGATACCTGGTCACCACCACCCCAACCGTCTCCTGCCTGGTGCAGACACATATGAGCACTGAGCTGACAGTGACTGAGACACCAGGCAACTGTTGTGTGTGCGCATGGGGGGGTGCGTAGCAGCCAAGGTGGGCAGTGAGGACCTCCCACTTCTGCACCGGGCTGTTGGCACTCCTGGGAGGAAGGTGGGGTCGCCTTGCTGTTCTCTTTGGTGGCGACGGAAGTCTTTTAACTTCCACACCAACTGCAGCTTCTGTTTATACGGCTCAGCCCAGGGCCATTTACCTTGGCTTGTACTACTTGCTCAGCTACAAATTAGCGCTGCCTCTGGTGGGGAACCAGTGCTTATGATCTCCCTCGAGGCTCTGATTTATCTCCAAGTGGAGAAATACTGGCATCTGAGTTAGTAGAAATGCCTGCCAGGTTCTGGCAAAATATTGCCTCTCAGCCTTATTTTTCAGTGCTGTAAATTTTAGCTCCTGCACTTTCAGCTTCAGAAGAATGCTACAAAGCTGCCCTGGGAGCCTTGGGAGCTGCTGGCCCGAGCCGAGCAAACAGTAGAACCGGCCTGTGCTTAGCCTGTTCCTGGCGTCTCCCTAATCTCTGGCAGCATAGAATGCCACATTCTTGTTCTCTGATTGTGACAGGCTCAGGTGGCAGCTGGAGAAACGAGGAGTGAAAGCCCTTATTACAGTTCTGTGTCTGTTGCTGTGACAAAACCCTGACAAATACAATTCAGGGGAGAAAGGGTTTATTTGACTTGTAATTCCTTAAACCTCAGACCCACAGTGAAGAAGACAGAGAGAGAGACAGAGAGACAGAGAGAGAGACAGAGAGAGAGACAGAGAGAGACAGAAAGACAGAGAGAGACCGAGAGAGACAGACAGACAAAGACAGACAGAGAGAGAGAGAGAGAGAGAGAGAGAGAGAGAGAGAGAGAGAGAGAGAGAGAGAGAATAAAGGCATGCACGCAGCCTTGCTTTCCTGCTCTTGCTTACCTGCTGTCAGCTAGCTGTTCTCCTGCATTTCAGGAACCCCCACGTAATGAGCGGCGCCGCTCACAATGGCTGGGTCTTCCCACATCAGTTAAAAGTTGAGACCGTCCCTCAAACACAGGCTGATCCACAGACTCATCATTAAGACTCATTCTCGGGTGACTCTGGGTTGTATCGATGGGCAGTTAAAGTCCGTTAGAGGCTGATCTGAGACAGAGCATTGCCGTGGAGTGATGGGACAAGAGATGACTGCAAAGGCGTTTGCTCTCTGCCCTTCCCTGTGGCACACTGCCCTGACTGCTCATGCTCCAGCCGGACCTCTGTTGGGAGGACGCTACCTCTGATTGACAAGTAGCTAGGCATCTGTGTTCAGGGTTTACTCGAGTGGCTTTCTGGGCTTCTAAGTGGATCAGCACCCTTAGGGGCAAAGTCCTACCTGAACACACTTCCACAGGGTCATTCCTTATTCCCAGCTGAAACTTTACAGCACAAGCTGAGCATGCCCAGAAGTGCCCATGTCCCCTCATCTGAACCATACAAATATGTGCTCTGTGACCTTGAGCTAAGCATGTCCCCACATATGTCTGCCACCCTACCTTCTTAAATGAAGACCCCGTGCTGAGTCATTTTTCAACTGAATATGCATGGAAATGCGCCCTTCCCCAGAACACTTCCTGTATGAACAGTTCCCTGAATAGAGCCCTCAGCGTCTCTTTGTTCAGGAACAATACTGCTTAGAAATCATTCATGCGCCCCCCTTGCCTGCTGTGGGCAATGCAAGTTTTTCTACTTGAATTTCTTGCACTTGGTGTGTGTGTGTGTGTGCATGCGCGCGCGCGTGCACGCACGCATGCACACATGTGGTTTCCCCCCCTCTTATCAAGTAACACCATCATGGTTACCACCAACAGGGGAAGATTTTAGTTCTTGTAAACAATACTTGAGAGTTCAAAGGCTTTTCAAAATGTCTAAGATTATATCCCAACTCAAATTTTTGTATCTGAGGGAAATGCTCGTTCAAGGTAAACTATAATTATTGTTACTGGTATTTTAATTACTATCAGTATATAATTGGAATCAATAGCTTCAACATTTACCATACCTTTTATAATCTAGTAAAAAGACACTACAAAAAGCACTCTCCTTGATGCCAGCAATTGAAAGCACAAGTTTAACACATCTGATATACTGGAGACCTTTAAATGCCTGTGTTTACAAATCTAACCCAGCAGACATCTAGGAATCAATAAGTAGCTCTTGCAACGTTAGGCAATCACAAACATTTGTGCATGTGCACATGCATGTTTTTTATGTCTTAGCATGTTTATCATCACATACTGTGTATGATCCTGCAAAATCATCCACTTAAACGATAACACTTAGAGCTCCTGTAGCAGGATTGGCTGTTGGAGGCCACTGTGAGGGCATCCTCCGCTTCCGATTGTTTGCTCCTACAGCCTTGGGGTGTCAACCTGCTTTAGTCATCCCCAGAGGCTCCCCATCCTCAGAGACAGGGAGCAGGGCTGAGGGAGAGGAACACTGACAAAGACATCAGAAAACTTTCTGAGTGTAAGGACTTAAGACTCGGGGCACCCCTGCCTGTACTTAGCCACCTGCTTATGCAGAGCAGCAAGTGTGGGGGGACATATAGGCTTCAGTTACTTTATTCTTTGCATCCTGGTGTAGTTCAGAAAGCAACAGGGATATTTGTGGCCACCTTCCTGTGGACTATAGAATTTTTAGCATCCAAGGATGCCACGGGCAGGGTCTGAGACATATTGAACTGGGCAGTACAGAGCCACAGAGCATGTGAAGGGTGTCTGGGACCATATCTGTGACCAGTATTATTGTCACTGGGTTGGGGGGTGGGGGTGGGACAGACATGTCTGATATAAGCAACGGATCCAAGTGTCTGGCACAAACGGTTTGCAGTGCCAGAAGTATTAAACAGGCAGCCCTTTGCTAAGATGGTGGACTACAGCCATCACCACTGAAATTAGAAACAGCAGAAGTGGACCCTTCTAAAGAGGAACCCCTCTCCACTAAGGGATGGAGAAGGCACCTGTACCTGATAAGTGAAGAGAAGAGATTGACAAGGGCACCAAGAGGAAGCAAGGGGAGCACCCTCAGCCCCGTGGCTCCATGGGAGGCATGTGTGGGAGGCAGAAGCCTCTTCCAAGGGGGAAGCCAGGTGAGAGGAGGGTGACTCGGCACCAGGACACACCCAGACCCCTCATAAGCTCCCAGGGCAGCGGCAGGCTTCGGTGAGCCAGTGCTTCCTGGGGCACAGGCAGTGGAGAGACGTCCGCTTTGGGCAGTCTGTCTGATCCAGGTGCCATCTTGAGAGAACCAGATGTTAGAATGTGAGCTATCCCAATGCCCCAGATCAGGGACAACAAGCCCGTGCACAGCTGCTTTCCTCGATGCTCTGACCAATGACTGACTAGAGGCAACTTCAAACAAAAGCACACCGTTTGCAGGGCAATGGACAGAAATGGAAGTCTTTATGGAGATGGAACCAGACTCAGAAAGACAAATACTGCAGGCTGGATTTAAACTTCTCTCTACGTGTGTGTAAGTGTAGTGTGCACATCTGTGTGTTGTAGTGTGATGGGGGATGTCCTGTATATGCACATATATGTTTCTTTTATTGGTTGATGAATAAATGCTGGTTGGCCAGTAGCCAGGCAGGAAGTATAGGCAGGGCAACCAGACTAGGAGAATTCTGGGAGGAGGAAGGCAGAAAGGAACCACCAGGAAGACACTATATAGCTATCAGGAAGATTGGACACCAGTAAGCCAATATCATGTGGAAATACATAGATTAATAGAAATGAGTTAATAATTATGGGAGAGCTAGCCAATAAGAAGCCGAAGCCATCAGCCAAACAGTTTATGATTAAAATAAGCCTCTGTGTGTTTATTTGGGGCTAAATGGCTATGGGACCAGGAGGAGCAGGAAACTCTGTCTACAGTAGTCTCTCTCTCTCTCTCTCTCTCTCTCTCTCTCTCTCTCTCTCTCTCTCTCTCTCTCGTATTGTGTATAATGTCTTTGGTGTGTGTGTGTTTGTGTGTGTATGTTTGTGCTGTATTTTGTGTAATGTGTGTCTTTGGTGTGTTTTGTGTGTGTTGTATTGTGTGTGTATCTTTGGTGTGTGTGTGTGTGTGTGTGTGTGCGTGCGCGCGTACCTGTTTGTAAGTCATGAAACTAGAAAAGGATGATGAAGAGGAGAAAGAGACCTAAAGGGAGGTACTAACGGGGAATAGGAATGGAACAAACCACTGAGGGATAGGAACCATGAGGGAGGACAGTAGGGGAAGGTGTGAATCAGAACAAAACAATGATATTAGGAATGAAAATGCTACAGTAAAGTCCATTACTTTACTATAATAACTTAAAATGAATTTAAAATTTTTTGAAATCAGAAAAATGTTATAGACTGATCAAGATAAGATTTTCCAGGCAAAAATACTATACTAAAATACTCAGTAAAAATTATAATAGAAACACAAGATGAGGCAAAGGAAGGGTTTGCAATTTATTTTGCAGAAAGAAAATAAAATAAGATATCTATCTATCTATCTATCTATATATGGAGATAGGGTTTCACTATGAAGCCATGGCTGGCTTGGAACTCACTCCTCTGTAGATCAGGCTAGCCTTGAACTCACAGAGATCTGCTTGCCACTGCCTCCCAAATGCTGGGATTTCACTTGTCTGTAAATGATAATTTTTCTGCATAGCAGTCAGCAAATGATGCCGAATCCATCGTGGAGACAGTCCACAGTCAAGCAAGGACCCTAGCACCAGCCCCTGGGCTTCCTGCTGAAGCCCAGCAGCTCCATGGCTGAGTGGGAGCCCTCTGGCAGCCTGACTGTCTCCCTGCAGCCTCCACAACCCCAGCTCTTCTTTGTTTGTTCTCCTCTGTCTTTCATTTCCGCCTGTGGTCTGTCAGACTCTGCTTCTTTCATCTCTCAAAGCCATGTTCAGCCTTTTGATGAACACTTTCATTCTGGCATTTTGACTTTGATTTGAGTCCCCGACTTTCCTGTCTCTGTAACCCACAGCTTCCCACAAGAAGCACGACAAGTAATTGCTGCTGGCAGCGACTTGAAAGGGTATGAGACTTTCTCATGGTGACGAAATGAGAATGAAAATGAAAGGCTTGTTTTTCTTCCCTCTGACGTGTTGCTATTCTGAAAACACAGGGCACACAGTCAGGGAAATGGGTCTTGTGTGTAACTGGACCCTAACAGAGAGAACTGACATGAACACACCCATCTCCTTGCTCTTGGGGAAGGGGAGTTGGAGGGAGCTTGAATGTCCAACTCACTATTGCACTTCTACTGATCCCCATTTCCCTACTCAGAAAAAGAGAGACCCCTATGAGGTAGCATAAGATGCAGAGCTCTAGGTCACACATTAACTCTGCCCTTCTCCCCACAGCAACCCTTAAGCAGAGGTCGCTTGCTGTGCTGGGGGAGAGGGAGAAGGTTGAAGCCTTACCTTGACCTCAGGTACTGCTGCCCAAGCCTCCATTAATGAACAACTTGCTTAGTGTTTGTCTCCTCAGTGCCTTGGGGGGTGCCTCTTCTCTTCCTTCCCTGACCTAAGAGTCAACAGCAATGGACAACTGGAAAAACACTCCCACATCATTAAATGTTTCAGAAACGGTAAAATTTTGGAGAGGTATACCAGAGGAGAGAGCACTTATCCCATGTACATGTGTGTATTTGTATGTTTTCTAGAGCTCAGCTTAGATGTGTGTGTGTGTGTGTGTGTGTGTAACACATGACTTTTCTTACTTCCACGATCCTTTAAATGGTACAGTATGATAACTATCTAACATTTATATTGCTTTAGATATTATAGGCAATCCTAGAAGTTATTTGAAGTCTATGGGAAGATTACATGCAAATACTTCACTATTTTATTTCTTTTTTCTATGACACATGGTCTCATGTGGCCCAGGCTGGTCTCCAACTTGATATACAGCTGAGGCTGACCTTGAACTCCTGATCCTTCTGCATTACTGCTCCCGTGCCTGGCGTCTCCCCATTTTCCGTAAATGACTGGAGCATGATTGGATATGGGAGCTGTGGGAATTCCGTAGTAGATCTCTCATAGACACTTGTAGCCAAGATTCAGTGTATTCTATTAGCCATAATATTAGGAGATACACTGTAGCTTCATTATGTACATAGAGATTAGATTTTCTCCTTGACCCGGCCGAGGGCCTGACACTTAGCAGCAACTGGCTTTCGCTTTCACGTGGAGAGAGTACTTGCAGTCTTGGTCCTC